CCTCTGTTTAAAAGCTTCCAAAGAAGGAGCCTCCACCACACTCCGGGGCAGAGAGTTCCACTGCTGAACGGCTCTCACAGTCAGGAAGTTCTTCCTCATGTTCAGATGGAATCTCCTCTCTTGTAGTTTGAAGCCATTGTTCCGCGTCCTAGTCTCCAAGGAAGCAGAAAACAAGCTCCCTCCCTCCTCCCTGTGGCTTCCTCTCACATATTTATACATGGCTATCATATCTCCTCTCAGCCTTCTCTTCTTCAGGCTAAACATGCCCAGCTCCTTAAGCCGCTCCACATAGGGCTTGTTCTCCAGACCCTTGATCATTTTAGTCGCCCTCCTCTGGACACATTCCAGCTTGTCAATATCTCTCTTGAATTGTGGTGCCCAGAATTGGACACAATATTCCAGGTGTGGTCTAACCAAAGCAGAATAGAGGGGTAGCATTACTTCCTAGATCTAGACACTATGCTCCTATTGATGCAGGCCAAAATCCCATTGGCTTTTTTTGCCGCCACATCACATTGTTGGCTCATGTTTAACTTGTTGTCCACGTGGTCCACTGATCTTGGGGAGCCTGGCTGGCTGCTCAAATCATGTCCCCCTTTTAAAGCTCAGGGTTCCAATCTTTGAAGGAGTTGTGGCAATGCTTGCGTGCCTTACAAACCCAGGGGAGCTTTCTGATGTCCCCTGAGGACATGGTGGTATTGGCCACTTAGGTTATGCCTCCCTGGGTATAGAAGGTCATCTTTTGCGACCTCTGGCAAGGTTCGCAGCCACAATTCTTGGGCACTCTTTGTACATTCTTTGGAATTTGGGATGTTGCCTGCAAAGATTTGCTATGCTGGTTCCTCTCCCTGGATTTTCTCAAGCATAATTGGTTCATCTTTCTTACTGACACTTTTAAGAAGACTTGGAGTGCTTCCACATAAAAGCTCAGTTAGCAAAGTCATTTTTATGATGTTTATTTAACAAGGCTAGGAAAGGCTCGAAGGAGCTGGAGGGTGGGAGGCAGAGGAAGAAAGTGGGCATTGAGAGTTGAACAGCACATATAGATACAAGGGATATTGAACATCACCTCTGGGAGACACTACTATGGCTTCTCTTCCCACAACCTCATGATAGGATGAGGTGACCTGCTTGTCATCATCGCAATGCATAGCTATGAAATGGGACAAGTTGAGTCTCCCTTTTCTGAATTCTGACATCCAAAATTGGCTGATGTGGCCAAGATAGTGATGATTCAGTGTACACAAACTTTGTTTCATGGACATAATTATTAAAAATATTGTGTCTGAAATGACCTTCAAGCTATGGGCATAAGATATACCTGAAACATCTATGAATTTTATTTATTTACTTATTTGCAGTATTTATATACTGCCTTTCTCACCCCTATGGGGACTCAAAGCAGTTTTGTGTTTAGATTTTGGGTTCAGAGCATGTTGGATATGGGATACACAACTGGTCCTGGAACAGGGGTGAAGGACCTTTGGCCCTCTGATTATTTTGGATACATGTCCTCCAAGATGTATCCAAAATAATCATGTCCTCCAAGCAGAGGCGGCCCTAGGTAATTTTCAACGGTAAGCAAACAGTATTTTGGCACCCCCCCCCCCCAACCAATCACTGATATATATTTTCTGTTCGTCGTGGGAGTTCTGTGTGCCATATTTGGTTCAATTCCATCATTGGTGGAGTTCAGAATGCTCTTTGATTGTAGGTGAACTATCCATCCCAGTAACTACAACTCGCATATGTCAAGGTCTATTTTCCCCCAAGAGCGCCTCAAGAGCGCCCTGGGCAAAATCAACTATACTGCAAATGCTTACTTTGTGTAATGGGTTGAGCCGCCCCTGCCTCCAAGATGTATCCAAAACCAATATGCCAAGCAAACTCAGAATAATGTGGTCACAACAGCAAAAGCTATCCATGAGGATGAACACAGCAGTTTTCTTTTGCTTGAGCCTCCTGGGAAGGGCAAGGTTCTATCTATTTCCTCTTTATCTATCTATTTATTTATTTACTACATGTATATACTGCCTTTCTCCCACTGAGGGAACTCTAAGCAGTTTCCAACATTATAAAGGCAAAATTCAATCCCGTACATACATATGAAAACCAAAACATAATAGCTTGACTATATATAAAAAAATGCTCTGTGCATAATGAATACCTTAAAAACAAAAGAACCAATGAACAAAATCACACCAAATTTGGCAACAAAATGTCTCACAAGACAAGGAGTGACCATTGCTCAAAAATTATGATATTGTCATTTGGGAGTTGTAGTTGCTGGGATTTATAGTTCACCTACAATCAAAGAGCATTCTGAACCCCATCGACAATGGAATTGAACCAAACTTGGCACACAGAACGTCCATGACCAACAGAAAATACTAGAAGTGTTTGGTGGGCATTGATCTTGAGTTTGGGAGTTGTAGTTCACCTACATCCAGAGAGCACTGTGGACTCAAACATTGATAGATCTGGACCAAACTTGGCATGAATCCTCAATATGCCCAAATGGCAGCACTGGTGGAGTTTGGGGAAAATAGACTTTGACATTTGGGAGTTGTAGTTACTGGGATTTATAGTTCACCTACAATCAAAGCATTCTGAACCCCACCAATGACAGAATTGGGGCAAACTTCCCACACAGAACCCCCATGGATAACAGCTGGACAACAACACACAACTATAAATTAACCTAACCAAATTAAAACATAAACATAAAATAACATTTAGACATAAAGAATAAAATTAATCATCGACAATACAATTATATTATATTAAAACCCACCAATAAACAACACAATTTGAAAACAGTTATTTAAATCATGAAATCCAAAATCAAGCCCGTAGTCGTTCTATTGGTCCATTCACTATTCCTTATTATCTTATTGCATTATGAGCATTGCTCTCCCAAAGCTTGGTCACATAACCATGTTTTTACTTTCTTCCTGAAGGGAGGAGGGAAGGCGGTGCTCTAATTTCACTAGGGAGGGAGTTCCATAGCTGAGGGGCCACCACTGAGAAGGCCCTGCCTCATCCCCACCAGTCACGCTTGCAAGGAAGGTGGGATCGAGAGCAGGGCTTCCCCGTAAGTTCTTAATCTCTGAGGTGGGTCATAGAAGGAGATCCATTTGGACAGGTAGGCTGGGTGGGAACTGTTTAGGGCTTTATAAGGTAAAGCCAGCACTTTGAATTGTGCTCGGTAGCAGACTGGCAGCCAGTGGAGCTGGCGTAACGAGGGAGTTACTGGACTGCAAGCCAATTGCCTTGGCTGTGAGGAATGGATTACAGTGAGTGCTTGTAAGAGAAACCTCCCATTTGAGGAGTCTCATTCAACTCCATTTGTAGGAACTGTCATGTTGAGGACAAAGGTGGAAAGTGCAAACTGGAGGGAGAAACGGAGATACAGTACTTTAAAAGCAGCTGAAAAATAAGAAGAGATTTCATAGGGTGAATCTGGGCTGCCAAATTAGGACAGTCGGAAGAACTTCAGATCCTCAAGGCCTTTTGCAATATAGGTAGTACCAAGATATTGTAGGAGTTATAGTTCAAAACAAGGTTCACCCTCCATGCCTTAGAACAGTGTTTCTCAATCTTCCGAATGGAGCGACCCCTTAATACAGTTCCTCATGTGTTGGTGACCCCCAACCATAACATTAATTTAGTTGCTCCTTCACAACTGTGGTGAATCGTAATGTAAATATCTGAGATGCAGGATGTATTTTCATACACTGGACCAAATTTGGCACAAATACCCAATACACCCAAATTTGAATACTGGTGGGATTGGGGGAGGGTATTGATTTTGTCATTTGGGAGTTGTAGTTGCTGGTATTTATAGTTCACCTACAACCAAAGAGAATTCAGAACTCCACCAATGAAGGAATTGAACCAAAATTGGCACACAGAACTCCCATAACTGTCGGAAAACACTGGAAGGGTTTGGTGTGCACAGAGTTTGGGAGTTGTAGTTCACTTACATCCAGAGAGCACTGTGGACTCAAACAATGATGGATCTGGACCAAACTTTGTACGATTACTCAATATGCCCAAATGTGAACATTGGTGGAGTTTGGGGAAACTAGACCTTGACATTTGGGAGTTGTAGTTGCTAGGATTTATACTTACTTACTTAGGTGATCCCTCATTTTCTGAGGATGATTGTCTTCCAGTATTCTTGTGGGTCCGTATGTGGCTGTGGAGCCCTATTCTTGCTCTGCATCTTCTTCCGCAGGGAGGGCATTGGTTTCGAGGTGGAAGGCGGTCTCGGTCGGGGTTAGCTTGACGCGCCTTCCTCTTGGCAAGCTTCTCCCTTTCGCCCTCCATTCGTGCCTCCTCAAATTCCGCAGCACTGCTGGTCACAGCTGACCTCCAGCTGGAGCTGGGATTTATAGTTTACCTACAATTAAAGAGCATTCTGACACCCATCAATGATAGAATTGGGCCAAACTTGGCACACGACCTACATAGCCAACACTAAATACTGTTGGGGTTGGCAGGGCTGTTTTTGAATTCTGGGAGTTATAGTTCACCAACACTGAAAAGGAAGAGAAGTTTAGGCAGAGAGATCTTCAGAATTGGGCCAAACTTCCCACACAGAACCCCCATGACTAGCAGAAAATATTGTGTTTTCGATAGTCTTTGGCAATCCTTCTGACACTCCCTCGTGACCCACTCAGGGGTCCTGACCCCCAGGTTGAGAAACGCTACCTTAGAAGGTGATAAGTTCACTTGGGCGCTGTGTCAGTTCCTGTCACTTCTGTAGCATTTCCTGCTGCTTTGACATACACTCAGCTGTTTATTTATTCCTCTCTGGCATCTTTTTATTCAAAGGGACTCCCTTTATGCCAGTCTTAATGCAGAGATGAAAAGGCAAGGATTAGCAGCTAAATAGGCTTTCTCTGAGGATGGCATGGTTCTGGGGGGAAGAAAATGGGCTGAGGAGAATGCTTTTCAGTAATGTCTTTTTCTCTCTCCTTTCTTTTCTCTTTTAGGATAAGCTCCAGTCCAGGATCGGTGCTTTGAAAACAAAAAATCATTCGGAGTTCTGACATCATCCATCTCTTTCCTCAGCGCCGCTTTAGGAATACAAAAAGCATTACTATTTTTTGTCAACCATGTCGGGAGACATGTGGAGATGGACCTGCCTGGTCTTGCACCTTCTCCTCTGTGCTAAGACGTTGCCTTCGGTTGCCAGGCAGCAGACTTCTCACCCAAAGAGACCCTTCCTCAACTTCACTGTGGACATGGCAGAAGTCTACTTCAACCACTTGGTGGTAGATGAAAGAAGAGGAAGCATTTACTTGGGGGCCATCAACTGGATCTATAAACTCTCGGAGGACCTGGAGGTCCAGGCGTCCCATCAGACGGGCCCGGATAGTGACAACCCAAAGTGCTACCCTCCCAAGGTGGTCCAGCCTTGCAACGAACCCTTGATATCAACCAACAACATCAACAAAATGCTCCTCATTGACTACAAAGAGAACAGGTTGATCGCCTGTGGGAGTTTATACCAGGGCATTTGCAAAATCTTTCGGCTGAATGACCTCTTCAAGCTGGGTGAACCTTTCCACAACAAGGAGCACTACCTCTCCGGGGTGAACGACAGTGGCTCTGTTTTTGGAGTGATTGTCTCCTACCACAATATGGATGACAAGTTGTTTATTGCCACTGCAGTGGATGGGAAACCAGAGTATTTCCCAACCATCTCCAGCCGGAAGCTGCCCAAGAACTCGGAAGCAGAAGGGATGTTTGCTTATGTCTTCCACGATGAGTTTGTGGCCTCCATGATCAAGATCCCGTCAGACACATTCACCATAATCCCAGACTTTGACATATACTACATCTATGGCTTCAGCAGTAGCAACTTTGTCTATTTTTTGACCCTTCAGCCTGAGATGATTTCTCCACCAGGTTCCACCACCAAAGAGCAGGTCTATACCTCCAAGTTGGTCCGCCTGTGCAAGGAAGACACGGCCTTCAACTCTTATGTGGAAGTGCCCATCGGCTGTGAGAAGAATGGGGTGGAATACCGATTGCTTCAGGCGGCTTACTTGTCCAAGGCGGGGTCCATCTTGGCCAGGTCTTTGGGCATCAGGCCAGAGGATGATATCCTGTTCACCATCTTCTCCAAGGGGCAGAAGAGGAAAATGAAGTCTTTGGACGAGTCGGCTCTTTGCATTTTTGTTCTGAAGAGGATCAACGACCGTATCAAAGAGAGGTTGCAGTCCTGCTACAGGGGCGAAGGCACGTTGGATCTGGCCTGGCTGAAAGTGAAGGACATTCCCTGTAGCAGTGCAGTAAGTCATGCTTTTCAGCAGAAATATTCCCTTTACTTTTCTGAATCAGAACATGGGTGCATGGAGAGAAAGAAAAGTGATGTTACCTCTCAGCTTTGGTATGGGAGCTGGTAACTACATAGTGCAAACTATTTGCAAGGGATTGCACAATGAGGGAGGTCCAGCTTGGCCTCCCACATTTTGCAATCTAATTTGGCACAAAAACATGTTTTAATACCTATATTACTATAGTATTTCTGGATAGGCATTTTTAGAGGTTCATCAAGATCAGTGGTTCTCAACCTTCCTAATGCCACGACCCCTTAATACGCTTCCTCATGTTATGGTGACCCCCAACCATAAAATTAGTTGCATTGCTACTTCATAACTGTCATTTTGCTGCTGTTATGAATAGTAATGTAAATATCTGATATGCAGATTGTATTTTCATACACTGGACCAAATTTGGCACAAATAGCCAATATGCCCAAATTTGAATACTGATGGGATTGGAGGAGGGTATTGATTTTGTACTGTGGGTGTTGTAGTTGCTGGGATTTATAGTTCACCTACAATCAAATAGTATTCTGAATTCCACCAACAATGGAATTGAATCAAACTTGGCACACAAAACTGCCATGACCAACAAAAAATACTGGAAGGGTTTGGTGGGCATTGACCTTGAGTTTTGGGAGTTGTAGTTCACCTACATCCAGAGAGCACTGTGGACTCAAACAATGATGGATCTGGACCAAACTTGGCACAAATACTCAATATGCCCAAATGTGAACACTGGTGGAGTTTGGGGAAAATAGACCTTGACATTTGGGGATTGTAGTTGCTGGGATTTATAGTTCACCTACAAACAAAGTGCATTCTGAACTCCACCAAGGATGGAATTGAACTAAACTTGGCACACAGAACTGCCGTGACCAACAGAAAATATTGGAAGGGTTTGGTGGGCATTGACCTTGAGTTTGAGAGTTGTAGTTCACCTACATCCAGAGAGCATCGTGGACTCAAACAATGATGGATCAGGACCAAACTTGGCATGAATACTCAATATGCCCAAATGTGAACACTGGTGGAGTTTGGAGAAAATAGACCCTTGACATTTGGGAGTCATATTTGATGGGATTTGTAGTTCGCCTGCAATCAAAGAGCATTCTGAACCCCACCAACAATAGAATTGGGCCAAACTTCCCACAGAACCTCCATGACCAACAGAAAATACTGTGTTTTCTGGTGGTCTTTGGTGACCCCTCTGACACCCCCTCGCGATCCCTCCAGGGGTCCCGACCCCCAGGTTGAGAAACACTGATCAAGATGGTTGTTTAAAAAATAGCCACTGCTATCGAGGGCTGGCAATTCCTTTGGAACAGGAGCAAATCTGACAACTATGGTGTTTGACTGTGCACTCGTCAGTTCCTGTGTATTGAATCCAAAGTGTTTACATTTTCCTTTAGTATATGAATGGATAATAAAGTTTATCACTAGAAATTATTGGACTGCAACCAAATCCCCTCCCTGCCCTTTCCTCCTCTTCCTGAAGGAAAGACAGGAAATGTTTGAATCCCCAAAAATTTAGTCTTGGTTAGGATTAGATGGTGAATGGGAGAGAAAATGTCTATCCATTAGACTCCCAGGTTACCACTCTTGATATATAATCCTAGAATCCTCGAGCTGGAAGAGAACCCCAAGGACCATCCAGTCCAACCCTCTGCCATGCAAGAAGGCACAACCAAAGCACTCCCGATAGATAGCCTGTGCTATCTACAACCAAAGAGAATTCAGAACTCCACCAACGAAGGAATTGAACTTCCAGAGAAGGAGACTCCACCACACTTCCAGGCAGCCCAGGCTACTCTTCAACAGCTCTTACTCTCAGGAAGTTCTTCCTAATCTTTGCCATTTGAAACCATTTCCCCCTTGTGCCCTGGTCTCTAGAAAAGCAGAAAGACAGTCCCCCCTCTCCTCAATGGGACACCCTCTGAAATCTTGAAACCTGGTTCTCATGTTCCCTCTTTACGTTCTCTTCTCTCAACTAAACATCCTCCAGAAGGAAAAGAGGAAGGAAGAAGAGAAGGAAGCGAGGAAGAAAAGAAAAGGAATGATGGCAGAGAAGGGAGGGAAGGGAGGAGGAAGGAGAAGAGAAAGATAGGGAAGGAAGGAGGGAAGAGGGAAAGAAGGAAGGATGAAAGAGTGGAAGGGAAAAAAGGAGGGAAGGAGAAAGGGAGGTAAGGAAGAAAGGGAAGGAGGAAGGAAAGGGAAGGAGGAAGGAAAGAGAGAAGGAAGGATAGGAGGGCATGAGAGAAGCGATCAAGGAGCCTATTTTCCAGTCCTCAGGCCTGGGTTTGCCCATACCTGATGTAGATGATCTATAAATCAAGGACAAGCTTTTGATCAAAAATTATGAATTTTATATTATTTATGTATAAGATAATGGTTTATACATGGAGAGGGGAAAGCACATATGCCAGTGGGCTAGGCACCACTGACCACCCACATTTTCCTATCTATAAATTCAAAAACTGCCAGAAGTGGGGCAGTGATAGAGAGTGTAGAAATGGTCAGTGGTTCTCAACCTGGGAGTCAGGATCCCTGGGGGGTGGGTTGTGAGGGGGGTGTATCAGAGGAGTTGCCGAAGACCATAAGAAAACACAGCATTTTCTGATGGTCATGGGGTTTTTGTGTGAGAAGTTTGACCCAATTCTATCATTGGTGGGGTTCAGAATTCTCTTTGATTGTAGGTGAACTATAAATCCCAGCAACTACAACTCCCAAATGTCAAGGTCTATTTTCCCACAAACACCACCAGTGTTCACATTTGACCATATCGAATACTTGTGCCAAGTTTGGTCCCAGCAGGCATGTAGCCGGGGGGGGGGGGGGGGGGGGGGGGGGGGGCGCTCGGGGCTTCAGCCCCCCCCCCCGAAATTCTCATGGTGGTTCGCGAAAAGGCCTTACTGGTGCATTATTTAAACTGTTATGTTTATTCATATCATGATCTGATCACCATACTCAATATCCCATATGCATGGGGGTATTGGGGTAATGATACAAAAGGTTTGCTAGGTAGACCCTCTTTCACTCAGACTCAGCCCCCCCCCCTGAAACTCAGCCCCCCCCCGAAACCCCCCTGAAAAAAAATTGAGTATTTGTGCCAAGTTTGGTTGAGATCCATCATTGTTTGAGTTCACAGTGCTCTCTGGATGTAGGTGAACTACAACTCCCAAACTCAAGGTCAATGCCCACCAAACCCTTCCAGTATTTTCTGTTGGTCATGGGAGTTCTGTGTGCCAAGTTTGGTTCAATTCCATCATTGGTGGAGTTCAGAATGTTCTTTGATTGTAGGTGAACTATAAATCCCAGCAACTACAACTCCAAATGACAAAATCAACCCCCATCCCCTTAGTATTTCTAATTTGGGTGTATCATGCACTTGTGCCAAATTTGGTCCAGTGAATGAAAATACATCCTGCATCTCAGATATTTATATTACTAATCATAACGGTAGCCAAATTACAGTTATGAAGTAGCAACAAAAATAATTTTATGGTTGGGGTGTCACCACAACACGAGGAACTGTATTAAGGGGTTGCAGCATTAGAAATGTTGAGAATCACTGTTTTAGGTTCTCCGGGGATGGACTACACTTTTGCCTTTTGCTACTTAGAGAAAGGGGTGGATCCTTTTTTGATAAGAGTTAAGGTAGCGTACTCACATTGACCCATGGATAAGTCGAATCAGGTTTTAGTGGTTTATATTTTGACCATGCATGAGGTTATGCATGAGTATATGAGGCTTATGCATGAGTAAATAGGGTAAAAGTCCCTCTTGCCTGGCTGTTGGCGCTCCCTTCCCTAAGCAATGCCTCCTTCCAGGCTGCGTTTGAGTTGGCAGTGCGTATCAGGACAAAAACAATCTTTGCCTGTGGCTCTAATGGAGTGCAACATGAACACAAATAATTGCAAAGGAAGCAGAGAGCTGGGCTGCATTTGGCTGCTTTGAGCTGAGAGCTGGGATGGGAAGGAGGGGAGCATTGCAAGCCCTGGCGTCTGCAGCTTCGGTTGTTTGCTGTGCTTTTTGAGCTGGAGTGGCAGCTGCGACCGCTCGAGTCAAGCCAGCGAAACAAGAAGTTGGTAATTCAGTCAAGCGGCAGGCGATTTACTCAGCAGCTGGGAGGAAGATGCTGGGTGGACCCATGTTACAGTCACGTGGCATTTGGGCCTGAAAGCGCATCCATGGAACAAGATTGGGGGGCAGGGTGGTAGTGGGAGCATGGGGCATTCAGTTTAGGATCAGAGGAGTCTTGTGCCAAGGGTTGAAGTCCTATTGCTGTCATAAGCTCCCTTACACCTGCAGTTTCATTTTCTGGCTGGCACCATGTTAACTGCCATGAATCAATGCTATCAAATCCTGGGATGTGTAATTTGGGAGGCACCAGTATCCTTTGGAAGAAAAGTCTGAAAAGCTTGTAAATCTATAGCTCCCATTTTTAAAATTGTGTCAGGAGTGACATGAGAATACACTACAATCCGCTTCTGAATTGGCCATCTGCAAGGATGTTGCCCAGGGAATGCCCGGATGTGTTACCATCCTGTGGAAGGATTCTCTCATTTCAAGCTGGGAGCTCACCCCATCTCATAGATGCAAACTGCTGACTTTCAGGTCTTTAGGTCAGCAGTTCAGCCAGCACAAGGGTTTAACCCATTGTGCCCCCTACTCCCATGATATAGCATTGAGCCTTAGCAGCAGGCCCGTAGCCAGGATTTCGTTTCGGGGGGGGGGGGGTCTGAATTTTTTTCAGGGGGGGGGGTTTGGGTGAGGCTGAGTTTCAGGGTTCGGGGGGAGGGCTGAGTTTGAGTGGAAGAGGGTCTAGCCTAGCAAACCTTTTGTATCATTACCCCAATACCCCCATGCATATGGGATATATTGAGTATGGTGATCAGATCATGATATGAATAAACATAACAGTTTAAATAATGCACCAGTAAGGCCTTTTCGTGAACCACCATGAG